TGGTGGACACCAGACTGAACCAGGAGCCTTGCCAACTGCTTGATCTGAAACACACACACACACACACACACACACACACACACACACACACACACACACTTCCTCCTTGCCCGCGAGTACCTCAGTTTGTCTAAGCATAAAATAAGGGGGCCGTGGCGGCGGTTAGCCCAGCTTTGGGTTTCTACTGCCAGCTACTACCGTGGCAGATTCCACAGCAGGATAACCTGGCTAGGCACTTCCGCTGAGGCTGCCAGGCCCTTACCCTGGTAGCTCTAAGCCTGCTTTTGTGTCTCTTGCTGAAGGACCAAGCTAGTCCAGCCTCAGGCTTTCAGACGTCAGTCTGGCTCCTTTGGGCTTCCCACAGGAATGGTGGCCACTTCTGACCTTCCCAATCTTTCACTCACTCACTGCCAAGGAGTCGATGCTGACGCATCCTGAACCTATAGGGCAGGGTAGAACTGCCCCAGTGAGTTCGGTGACTGTTTACGGGAGTGGAAAGTGTCGTCTTCCTCTTCAAATTGTGGATCTTGCAAGCGGACACACAACCACTATGCCCCCAGGGGCGTCCCATCCTTTAGCTCCCTTCCTTGGAGAAGGGCATCTTGTACTATTCTCTTCAGCATCTTTCGTTTCCCATTGCATTCTCATGGATTTCTAACCATTGGTTTCTCTCGTTTGCCTTTCTTGTCTGTTAGTTCCACACGGACGGGGCTCCTTTTTCGTGTTTTTTGTAGGCTCCATTTACCCCAGGACTAGTACCATAAGCTGTGGCCGCAGCTGCATGCTTAACCATCCCACCAACTGTATTAAGTAAATAACTCTTGCATCTCCACAAGGCTGAGGCTTGGAGTGCCATCCCTTCCCTTCCCAAAGAGCTCCTCCTCTTCGGGGCTCTTTGGATCCGGCTGGAGAAACTTCCTTCCCACTGCCGACTTTTGATAGAAGCGGCCTTTTCAAGACGGAAATGGGCTCTTTCCACACCACAGTGCACTCTTCCAGGCTGCAGTGACGTCATTACTGCCGCCCCAGGGGCCCTAAGCCCGGGCCCGGACCCCTCGCCCCTCTCCTTTCCTCCCCTCGGGGCTCCTCCACCACCGGGAGCCGGCCATCACCGCGGGACCCACCTCCTCCCGGGCCGGGCGCCGATGACGTCACGGCCCAGAGTGGCGTCACGTGCCCCGCCGGGGGCGGGCCTACGAGGGCGGTGCTTCCGGTCGGCGGCTCGAGCGGCCCGACGGCCGAGGCGCGGGGATGGCGGGCTCCGGGAGCGAGGCCCGCTTCGCGGGGCTGTCGCTGGTGCAGCTCAACGAGCTGCTGGAGGACGAGGCGCAGCTGGCGGACATGGTCCAGAAGATGGAGGAGGTGAGCCGGGCGGCCGCGGGGCCGGGAGGGCGCCGAGGCCCCGAGTTCTGAGGAGTTCTGAGGAGGCGGGAGTGAGGGGCTGGAGGCGCGCCGGGGGCCGCGGCCCCGAGTTCTGAGGAGTTCTGAGGAGGCGGGAGTGAGGGGCTGGAGACGCGGCGGGGGCACCGAGGCCCGG